AGCCCAACCTAATTTAAACATTTATTGACATTCAGTTTATGAAAAAATATGTTGTTTCTTTTATCGTGATATATTTAGTGAATTATTTTTATGTATTGGATATATGTGGGGAAAAAGCCAAAAAAGAAAATATCCCTGGCATCACACACTCTTAAAATTCAGACAACATTTAGGAAACATTTAATACCTGCAATATGTACTAATAAAGACCTTATTATCAAGTGAAAAGAAAACATTTGCATAAAAAAAATGAAATCTTCTTTACATGAAATTATTAGTATTTGTGACAAACCAAAACAAGAATATGACATCATGTGAGATAAACAAGTCAGCTCCTCTCTTTATTCCTCGTCATTAGTTCAACGATTCATTTCTACTTTATCAAATTAAGTAATCGAAATTTTAAAAAATGACGATATTAAAGGTTGCGTTTTAAAAAATTCGTAGATGACAGCTTTCACAATAATCCAAATTGTAAAACAAAATTAACATTCAATAATATTGATACGATGCTCTCTGTTGACCTATTAACAAGAACAGAATATTCCTAAAATTAGGTCCTAAAACAGATAATACTGTTCATATCTAACTACAACAAACTTTATAAAATATTTGCTGCCAATAGTCCATGACTCAAACATCAGACGAATTATACATAACTTATGAAGCATTCCTTCTCTTGGTAACTATATATTGATTTATCTTAGAAAATAAATATATTCTTCATTAAAAAAGGCAATTGTCTATCATAAAATATTTATCATGACAGTTTTTATTTTTATTTACCTAATAATTCTCAGAATTATCAAGATGTTACAGTAAATATTCTTTTGTTGGTGATATGTTGAATTTGTAAAGAATTTTCATTTTGGTTTTTATATTTTATTCTTAAAAAAATCAATATTCTATTTAATGATGGTACTTTTTGAATCAAAATCGTCATTTTTATAATTGATTATAATAAAGTAATCTTTAATGATCCATGCAGAATTGCAGTTCTGAAAAGAAGCCAAATTAAAAAAAATATTGTAATTACAAAGAGAAGATGTTTTTTTACTGCTGTTTTCCTCATCTAAATTCTTTGTCATTAGTTTTCCTTACAGTGTACACCTTGAACTTTCAAGTTGCTGCTCTTTTTTAAAACTTGTTATCAAAAAATCATCGCTCTAAAAAATCAATGATAATAACACGTGTTTCTTAACTACGGACATTTTTTTTTTTCAAAATATATTTTCATGTCTCTTTGTATTTGAAAACATATTTAAAACAATATCTAATATAATTCATTTTCTATCTAGATTTTTTTTTTAATGTTATGTCATTTTTATTTTTGACTGTTTGGACGTTTTCATTAAATGCTTATCTTTATTCTATAGATTATTAATTATGAATATTTACATTTGCAAATGTTTTCCTTTATATAACACTACGGAAAGCAATGTGTATCTATAACTGTATAAATACAGGTACGGGGTCCAGAGGTCATAGATGTGCGTATGGATAAACGTTTGACGTAACTTCTCTGTGACGTCATAAAGGGTCGAAACGCGTTCAGTGGATTACATACATGCCGTTGGGTTTGAAAAATAAAGCATTTCACACGTTAAAAGTCACAATCAGGCAAATATAAAGTATGAATAAGTCACAAATGTAAATAGAAGTAATATGGTATTATTTCAAAACATCTATTGGGCTATAAATACGGGTTGGTACGAGATTAAATTCATCATAAAGCCCTTCGGGCTTTATGGAAATTGATTTATTGACCAATTTTTTTTCCCGTATTTATATCCCGATAGATGTTTAAAAATGATACCTTATTTCTTAAATATACTTTCTTCAAGAAAATCATTCATCATACGTATATGTGATAAATTACTTCTGGTGCAGGGATATACTTGATTAATTGGATTGCTACAAAAAACTTTACATTCCTTGTTGGACAACACGTTTTTATGAAAATTTCAAATACGAGGGTTGTTCTAAAAGTTCGTGGACAACTGTGATATCTTTTTAATTTGACATCATATGTTATTCAAATTTGGTAGAAATATTTTAAATATTTTATTTATAAAGATAATATTTTAAAGAAATTCTCGACGCTATGTTTTGACGTTACATTGCCGTTAAGTGTGCTCCGTGGGCACAAAACATGTTGATTTTAAAATGAAGTAAATTGATTTCTGTTAAATCGAATGGAATAAAACTTTACACATCAACAAAGCTTATTTTAAATTTCTAGTGATCTATATAATGAGTATTGACATCGTCCACGAACTTTTCGAACAACCCTCGTAAAGTGAAAGGAAATAAGTAATTACATTACTTAATTGATGTCTGTCTGTGTCAGAATTTTTCTTTTAAAAATATTTTTTCAGAGACAAGAGCGATAACTCTACCTGATTTATGTCGTCAAGATTTACATTACCATATATGAACATTATACACAGAAAGGCAAACAATAATCTTTCATGTAAATTGTTATTTGGATTTCAGTAAAATATTTAATAAATATATAAAATAGATTATAACCCGAAACAAATCGTACTCACTATTTACAAACAGAGTTATACAGCAACAATGGTCATAAACTACGTAGACCATGTTGAAGGTATATTGCTGTATAAGTAAGAGAAGTTGACGATAAAGTTAAAGTAATCACGTTTATCATATACCTTGGTAGTTAGATTACCATTACCGTCTTTTTCAAGTAAAATATCCAAGTATGAATCAGATGTGTCGGACTCTGTGGTATCACAGAATATATCGTATCGATGTAATAATAAAAATGGCCATTGTTAGTTAACTATACATCGTCCATATATCTAAATGTCGAGTTGAAGTCCACAGCAAGTGCTTTCTTCTTTTCACGCATAATATTATTCACAAATTTTGCATCATAGGCGTGCAATCCAGATGTGTTTTAAGAAAATAATTTTGCAATAGACCAACGGCCAGTAAGTAAATTTACGAGTTCTATTTTCATTGAAAAGGCAGTTGTCAATGATATCAAAACGTCTGGACTTAAATTTATTTAGGGAAATATTTGTGTATAAAATTGAAAGAATTTCAAGCCGTTGATGTGGACAAAATCGTGTAATTTCAAATTGCCTAAAAGTTATTTGGAATTTTTGAGTAGCCACATCTCATTCACACAACTTCTTCAATAAAATGTTGCACATAACTCTTGAATGTTTTCCTTCACTTCTGTTAATATCTGTGAATAACAAAAAACGCTTGGTTGAACGTTTACTGGGACCCACAATGTATCTTTGCTTCTAAGGATTCTTATGAAATTTCAGAATCCAAAATATATATAGGGTAGTTCAAATTTTTTTGTGCCCTGTGGAATATGAAAAATACTCAAAACAGACATATGCTTTTGAAGAATTTTTTTCTTAGAAAGGGAAGTATGGGTAAAAATAGGATTATCATTTGTAGAATGAAATCCAAATACACCGTCCTTGTGAAATTCCTTTGGGTCATCATTATTATTGACTCATTGACCTTGTCAAGTGTGACCTACTTTTGAAAATCTCTAAATTGGTCATAGTTGAACTGTTGCTGTCTTATGTCTTTTTAATTTTTTTAGGGTAAACTCACAGCTAAAAAAAAAATAAAATATTTTGGTAGAAAAATATTTTTTTCTTGACCTTGGTGTTTGGTCTGCAAACGACATTTTTCATCATAGGCTGCAAAACAAAAGCACATTTTTTTTTTTCACAAACACATCTTGAATTTTTATCATGAGCTTCGGTAAACTTTTCATATTTATTTAACAACTTATTCTAAGTTGTAGTCCATAAAATGTTGTGATATATTTACCATAGTCTACACATCGCATTATAGAGAATTACGTGACGTAACACATATATCTATGTTTAATTGTGTTGCTACTTTAGTATTAAATCATTTTTTTGAAAGACTTAAGTAGTCTCATATTGCAAATGTATTTGTCAACATATTGATTTAACGCTGGCTCGCGTAATGAAAGTTTTTTTGCAAAGATAGTTGCAAATATCAAAAATCATCTATCAGAAAAAAAATGAAAGAATGTCAATTTTTTATTTATCAAATATTTTGTCTTGTTTTGCAAACTTGAATTTGTGACGTCATAATAAAATGCAAGTAACCTTTTGACCCTCGTTATGTGTAATGGTGTTTTTGAAATAACCCCTCCCCCCAAAAAAATACAGTATCGATATGTCTACGATGGTGTATCTTATGAATTCAGAAACAGAAAACTTCAAATTGTATTTTGTATTTCAAATGATAATCCGTAGCAATATGATATTGATCCTAAAATGTGGGTTTTTGACTTCAAGCTCATTACAAACCCTTGATAAAAACGTAACACGTATCAGGCATACGAATCTAGCATCTTTGTGTTTATTGCCACACGTAAATTTCAAGCTTTTTAGATATATCTATGGTATAATATTAGATCTGTGGTAAGAAATATTAAGTAAGCTTCATGTCCAATATTTCGCAAATTTTTTCCATCATATAAAAAAAGAATGACATCCATTGGAACGGATTTTGTATACTGAGTAGATTTACGGATAATACATGCCCATCCACTCAAAATGCTGCTTGGATGAAAAAAAGATAGGGAGAGGGTTTTAGAGAATAAAATATTAGACGTATTATACTACAGAAAATAATCACGAAAAATACCTTATAATTCTTTTTATAAATATCTTAAAATCTTTATTACAATGAAACCGTCTTACCCGACATACAAGGGGAGCAAGGGGAGGGAAATGTATTTGTCAGAATGAACAAGGTGTAGAATTGCAACGGGTAAAGATCATGCACATAAGTACGAATGATAAATAAAATTGAATGGTGAAAATCACTACAGAGCATTGTCAATGTGTCGGATCAATACAGGTTGTATTGTAATAGGTTTAATAGCAAAGCAATCCACATCCTTATTATCCTTTTAGAAATCTTCATTTATCATTTTTTGTATATAAAAAAAGAAATATATTAAGAACTTCAAATTTATTACAACACATATAGAGTACATCTTTTACTGAATACATTAATTAGAAAAACAAATGAAATTAATTTATTGCTTTACAGAATAGTTCATCACGCCTTTACTGAAAACATATTTGTTTTCACTCTTGACGTCAAAATTTTATTAAAAGAAGAACCACAAGGTATTGACTAATTTAAAATCGTCTCTTGAATCTTGCAGGGTTTGCCTGGTTGATGGATGATCCTTTGTCTGTTAAAAAAATAATACATTAATGTTTCACAGAAACAATAGCATATTTTCTCAACTAAAAAACCTCTAATAATTATTTGAAATTTTCACGAAAATACAAAAAAAAAGGATTTACCTAGTGACGTTTGATCATCATCGTGGTTCCCCTGACAGACGACCCACTCCTTGCTTTAAGATACCATGGAGAAGCCCACTCTGCTGGGTACCATGGACCATTAAGGAAGGCGTGGTGACAGGCATTAAACCACCAGCCTCCTCTGTATTTAGCAGCACAGTTTCCACTATACCTGTCATTATCCCTGTCCGGGGTACTAAAGTACATCCCAGCTTGATTTTCGTTAGGATAACCCGTGTTCAACATACTGTCTCCTGTAAAATTTAAAAAAAGGAATCACGAAGATAATTTATTTATACATTTTTAATCTAATTGTCGATAATAATACTGAGGTACTTATAAGATAGAGGTGCTGGAAAGAGAGATAATATTTATTTAGTTACGTCCTAAAATCCCAGTTATCTATCATACTGGCTAGTGGAGAATTAGTAAAAATATAGAATAGAGATAATGAATATTATTTATTATTTACATCATATTTATCTTAATACTGAAGTATTAAGGTTGTCTGGTAAAATCGGGGACAAATTGTCTAATTTGAAAGATAACCATTGCTGCATTCTGAAATTTTCACTACTCTATAGGACATATATTATGTACAGACAGAGCAAATTTCAAATATATATATATGCATGAATAAAAAAAATTGTGATATTTTATTTTATTTACTGCATCGACCTACTGCACACGGATAATACCGTCAGTGTCTAAAACAGCGACACATTTCATCTTTGCTAAAAATAAAGTTGGATAAGTGAAAGTTCCACTTACAATATGTAAAATTAGAAATTCCATTTATTTACATATATGATTGTTTATAACCAGTTAAGGAACCAAGTTGGCAAAGACATGCGATCTTCTGAACATTTCTAAGCAAGTTACAAACAGTATTCTCACCATTATTCAACTAACAGAGAATCTCAGATCGACGGTCGACAGTGACAGCTATTTTGATATTACGATGGCAGTCTGTCCATACGTTTTGTACTACCTGGGTACTCGATTTAAAAGTGTTCGCTAAGAAAACTTTCATTTCATTTATATACTAAAGATTTGGTAAAAGTTTTCATATTTTTTTGCTTCTGTATTCAACCTCTTAATATCTACTTTCTCTCTCTGAATTCAAGTCTCTTAAGGTGTCATGTCAACATCCTAGTCTAACTGAACTGCTCTCCGATGCGCCGTAACGTCAACAATAACTGCCATTTTTTGTTCATTGTGTTTACCACTTTTTTCCGTTTCGGATGCTCAGGAAACTGCCAAAAATGAACCAAATGCCTTGAATTATTGAAAGGACGACAAAATTTATTAAGGAATCGAATAAGGATAATTTTCATTCTAACCTTATGTATTGAAATCTTTTATTACGTATTCATACTTGTGCATTCCCTGATATAACCTTTTTATTTTAACCTGTGCAATTCAAGCAAAATAAAATCTTAATTTTTATATACACAAACATTGTGATGCACTTAAATATGATGATTCAACATTTACTGAAAATTTCAGCTTTGTGCACCAAATACTTTTCGAGAAAAACGCTTTGTTCATGATTTTACCAGAAAACCCTCGTACGTCTGAAACACGAAGTTTAACACAGTGCTTCCTGTGAAGAGAGATAATTGAAAAAGAAAACACAAGGCAATAAAACATTTAACTATCTTATAGTATCCTTTCTAGTGTAACAATAAACCCACGGTTTTTTAATCCTTTAAAGTACGATTTTTTTAAGGAGGGGGTGTAAAGGTCATTCGAAATATCAGTAAACATCAATAAATGAGAAATTGATATATATCAGAGATCATGCCTTTAAAATGTATAAATTGCAATACGAAGTAAATCATTCAAAAGAAAAAAGAGATAATATTGTATTTTCACTAAATAAAGTATAATTATGTATTGTAATTCTGAAAGGCATTGTGGTGTTTTAAATTTGGCTTTTTAAATTCTATTTATTTGAATGTGTATTGGATCAAATAATTTCCATTTTATCATCAAGTTTTCCTTAGCTTTTCGACATTTTAGATTAAGGACGCTCTGTACACTTCCTATTCCAGAGTAGATAATTAAAAATGTAGATTATTGAAAAATCAGACTAGATTTTCATTTAAAGGGGAAAAAGAGCATAGTTAATGCAGTACCTATTGGTGTTTTGAATTTTTTTATTTGAATGTTTCGAATCAAATAATTTTCTTTAAACAACTTTTTGTGAAGATGTCAACATTATAGATTACAATTATAATCTGTTAAGTTCTTTATCTGTAGTATTTCAATTTTGACTTATTAAATTACCGGAATTGTTTGTTAAGATCAATTTATTATAACTTTCTTCATATATTATTTGAAATTTTAGTTACTTGACAATAATGAATTCAATGTCTGCGGTATTCGTGAATTTTACCTGCAAATGATTTTCTGAAATATCAAATAAGTGTAATTAGCGTGGTATCAAAAATTTTTTTTAACATAAACTTGATATCAGAAAAAAAGACGTATCTTTTTTTTCAACAACTTTATTACCTGTCAATGCAGAAAAAGTAAAATTTCGATGATAAAAGCAATTTTACCAAAGTTTTAAAAATTAACGTGAATACATTTACCTAATGTTCCCGTGGCAGGTCCTGCAAGAAAGAGCTGATATTTTCCCGCTTCGTCGGAGACAAAGAATCGGTCAAACATTTCATACAGTGTTTCGCCATTCTGGAGAGTTAAGGACACATAAAGGGATGATGAGTTTTCTTTTATTAATTGATGGATAACGTCATTTCCTGTATTAAAATATATTTGAAATTAGCTGAAAAATTCATTGCAATATATTTTTTTCTATTAAAAATATTTGCCTTCAGTAATGAAAAATCAAATTATTTTCCTTAGCGGTGTACAATACAGCAAAACTCATTTAGTATGAAAACGGGTGTCGCAAATTTACAGATATAGCAAAGTCATCTTGACCCCCAAGCTGTATAAATCTAATGAATTTATTATACGGTTATAACGAATTACGCATATAACGAAATAATTTAATAAGTCCTAGTGACTTGGTTATACCTGAGTTGTACTGTAATGCTAAATTTGGGCTCAGAAAAATATACCGCAAAACATTTTTCTTCCTTTTTTAAATTAATTGAAATTTCAATCAAACACAATATTTGAATATCGTAGAACATATACGACTTAGTATGAATTTCAGATCTTTACTGCTCATAAATTTTGTACCTGCCACAAGATTTTTTTCTTCAAATTTTGAAGGAATAAAAAGTTCCCTTTTAAAAGCGAGTTCAACTTACCAACCCAGACATTGTGTTCAGGGGAACCAAAACCAGTTTTATATTCCGTCCAGGTCCTGTCAAAGCTCACGGATCCGTTTAACCGTTTCTGAATTGCCTGTAAAATTATACTTGCGTATTTTTTTATTTGATTTATTGCTTCAAACAATCATACAATATTCACATTACTTTTTATCCTGCAATCAATAAATCATCAAAGACAACGTGAATTATCTTATGCACTTTTAATTTTAAAATAAGATAGATACCGTCCATCCCCCGCCCATTGTCGTCATATCGCAATATACAGTGATTGGTACTGTTAGTGTACTGTAGGGGTATATATCATACACCCCTGTACTGGTTTGTCCGTTCTCGTGAAGATCCTTACAATCTTTGGGCATGGAAGAAAAATCTAAAGCTGAAAAAAAAAAACAATCCAAAGGAATAACTTTAACAAAAATACCAGAATCACATAATGAATAAAAGTAGTGAGAGGATACCTTATACGTGCATTAAGGTTATTTGTCAAAGCTAAAATGTAAAGTACATGTACAATGAAGATTATGTTAAACTGTTCCTCATTATCTAAATTCATTTTCTGTATTTTCAATTGCTGCAGATATCTGATCTATGACATGATTAAAGTAGTCCAATCCTCAGGTTTATAAAATTAACATTTAAGTAATCAAAAATACTCATAAAAGAATATCTGAACCCACAAAGTTTTGTAAATTTATCCACATATTTTCTTAAAAGTTGTATATTAAAGTTAATAATATTATATAGTGAAAAATGTCAATTCTCCATTATTTTTTGCAGAAAACGCAAATTTGAATATCAGCATGGTATTTTTTAATTGCAAATTAATCAACAAATATATTTTTGGTTAGAAAAAAAAAGTATCTAGGCATTTAGAGAAATTGTCATGATTTTAATATTTATTTGATATTTTTTGTCTTCTATTTCTATCATTTATTCTGTAACACATAATGTTAAAGGCTTTTGCTCTCATTGCAAGACACCACAAATCACTTCTTATTTCACATCATGCTAATAATCATCGGTAACTAAGGCTGGATTAGAGAAAATCTCATTTTTCTAACACTTACAGTATTTTTTTCCCTTTCATATGGTAAAATGCAACTTTTATTAGACCTTTTCTAAGACTTCCTAAAACATTGAATCTTTTAAAGAGGAATAAAATGAAAATTGTTGCATAAAAATATTTTCAAGCTTCATTTTGATGCAAATTAAATATCAACTTTTGGAGTTATCCTTCCTGGCTGAGGATCAGATTTGTGAAAAGTACATGTAGACATATATTTAAAATGAAATAAAATTAGTTTTAATACTCTGTTAATTGAAGGAAATGTAAAAGAGATATTATTTCGTGGATCTGATGATAAACCATTTCCACTCTGAAATATATATGTAGGACTCCAAAGTGCGATGGGACTCCAAAGTCCGATGGTCACGCCAAAGTCCGATGGTCTGCGCCAAACCCCGATGGTCTGACACGCCAAAGTCCGACGGTGCGGAAAACAATTGACGTTTATGACGTCATAGTAGCACTCCGCCCAAATCTCAATGCCGCGCCATGCCAAGGTCTTTAGAATTAGTATAAAGAAATGCGAAAACTAACCCTTATCTCTCAGACAGGTGCGAGACTAACGCTCGAAAAGTGTGTATTAGCAATAACCTAAATATCTTGAGTTGAGGCAAGACTAACCCTAATCACTCGACTAGTGTGCGAGGATTAACCCTAATTCACTCAGGTTGTGTGCAATGCAAGGACTAACCCCAATCAATGGAGTGGTGTGCGAGGAAAGACCCTAATATCTCTGGAAGGTGCAAGCAATAAGCAAAATCAACAATAAAAATTGTATTCGAAGACGAATTCAGAAAGGATTGTTTTTGAATGCAGAACAACGACGTCAAGGATTGACGTCGAATTATTGTGACGTCATAAACGTTGATTGTTCATCCGCACCATCGAACTTTGGCGTGTCAGACCATCGCACTTTAGCGTCGCGCGTCTCATAGGAAACGAGCCATCGGACTTCGGCGTGACCATCGGACTTTGGGGCCCGTATAGACAATGAGCCATCGGGGTTTGGCGCAGACCATCGGGGTTTGGCGAGACCATCGGACTTTGGCGTCACCATCGGACTTTGGAGTCTTACATATACATGTATTATTAAATCTAGTAAAAACATGATACAGCATATTTTTTATGTATATGAAATTTCCTAACTCTAAGGTCGATTCAAATACCATTTTTTCAACACAGCATATCGTATCATATTTAGACTGATGTCTTTAACAGATTGTAAGGCTTTTATTTTTACAATGAATTGTCCATGGATTGTTCGATTTCAAGATCAGTACAGGGGGCACACTGTGGATCTGACCGATCGACTGAGGATGCTTATTCCTTCATGGCACAGGATTCACCTTTCAGAACAGCTGTTTTCAAGGTAGCAATCTCGAAGAAATAGGTTAAAGTGATGTTTTCTCGATTGTCTAGTAAATTACAAGCTATAATTTTCTGGTGGTTTACAATGATCATTGTCACCAAGCTTAAATGAATATTATCGTTAAATACTCACAGTGTGAGAATTTTATCTCAAGCTTTCCATTTCAAACTAAGAGATACCTTATACAGGGAAATTTTCGCCCCTTTCGCCCTAGCCTGACCTGGACGTAAAAAAAGGGGGCGAATTCAAAGTAAACTGTATAATATCTTTAACAAACATCTTTTTGGGGCGAATTTAAAACGGGGCAAATTTGTATTTAGATGTGAAAAGACGAAAATAACAGGGAGCGAAAATAACCCTGTATACAGTAATAAGAATTGAGAAAATAGAAAATAGAGAAAATCACAAACTATAATTCAATTTATCTCTAATTCATCATTGATTAAAATTAAAAAAAATGCGAACAAAAAGAGATAAGAATATTATTAGAATCAAATGTGTTGAAATTACAATAGTTTACACTAGATAAAAAGAAATGTCAAAGAAAAAAATCGTGTCTTCTTGAGAGGGACCTTAAAAAGATTAAAGAAGCAAACATAAAGAAAAAAAAATCAAATATACATACCGTCATCCCAGTAGTATCTCCATCCGGCCTCATTAGTCATAACAGACGTTAATAGTTCCTTGTGGATACGGCATTTCTTCAACTGAGTATTAAAACCAAAGAAGACGCACTCCCTTTTACACATCATGGCGCATCTGGCTATTGAACGAGAATCATGCTCTCCTAAAAGTCCATAAATAAGTTTCTTATCATTTAATTCAAGTTTCACGGTATATTCTTTAAGATTATTTGTAGCTTTTGATAAAGCTATGAAGCCGACAATTAAAGAAATAATCAACTGACTGCTCATTTTTTTTTTTACTTTTATGAGAAAAAATCTGCTGCCTTCTTGTGAATCAGTAAAATGATACCAAATGGTCTTTCAACAGCCAATTATATATATAGTACCTTAATCAATGCCTGAAAAGTGATTGGCTAATTGTGATGTATCTTCTATATTTTACTGTTATAAAAGTATCGATTTTATTGAAGTTAATATCAATTTTCACAAAAGTTTTTTTTTTTAGATTGCAGTTTAGAATATAGCAATGACAATTATGTTGTTTTTATCTGAGTGAAAGTATGTTATGTTGTGATATTGTACATTGGTACGATGGTAATTAATAAAACTAATTAAAATTAAACTTATTACATTATAATTTTTGTGTTGGAGTGAAATGACCTAGGTTGTGGAGAGAAACAACCTGGGTTATGGAGGGAAATGACCCAGAAGAGAGATGAATTGGGCAGAAATAACCTAGGTGGAGCAAGTACTGGGGAGAAATGACCCGGATTCGTGTTTTGGTTTTCATTAGCTATCTTTGAAATATGGGAATTCAATATATTTTTTTTTTCTTTATCGCCTCACTCTGAAAAAAACTGAAAATTATAAATATCGAAAAAAAAGTTCCAAGGAACAATTATTTGGCTCTCAGACATTATTTAAAATATATTAATTTATTTCAACGTTGATTCATTAGCTTCTAAATGTGAATGTAACAATTTAGTGTGAGATAATTGGCATAACATTTGTATAATATTTTAAGTAAACATTGTACTAAACAATAGACTAAATTTCCTGACAAGATCATCGCATCAATCACATGCAATTTAAATCAATTACAGCATTAAACCAGTAGAAATTTGCCTTGTCGTCAGTGACTTTATACTCATATATAAAAACTTAAAAAATGAGTACTAATTTTAGTCATAAAAACTTCCTCATTATCCTGAAGACTTTAGTTGAAAATTGATATAAAATCTACAACCTTCAAATTGAAAATAAGTAAATAAATCTGCTTGTATACTTTACATTGTTGGTGTTGATTTATATACTTGCTTCATGATTTAAATATGTATACTCTAGCATTTTACATGTATATCTTTGTTCAGGATTTTAGTGTTTTGAGTCTTGGTAAATTAGGACATATAACTCTTGAAGCTGGACTTCTTTTTTATATCAAGGAGTCTTTAAATTGTGATTTTTATTTCTTAATTTATTTTTAACAGCAATACACTGATAAACTTTCCTGATCTCTTCTTTTTTTCATTTTCCTAATATGCTATGCACATATTTAAATGACAATTTACATTAGTTGTTTTTTAGGATAAAGCTATATTTTCTTATAAAATCCATAGTAAGTGCCGGTGTAGTGAGGTATTTTCAATGTCCTTGCTGTAATAAAATTAAAACAACAGGCCCATGGGGCACATCGCTCACCCGAGCATTGTGGCTAGGAAAAAGTAGAAATTGGTTTACTATTGAAAAGTTTAAATCAAAAAATTTGAACCCGCCCTACCCCCAGGGGGTCATGATTTTAACAAATTTTAACCTACACTACCTAAGGATTCATCCATATAAATATTAGCAATCATGGCTTTGCTGTTCTTGAGAATATTTATAAAGCACTTTCCTATATATTTCTAAATAAAATGTAGTCGGCCATTGTGCCCCTGCGCTACCCCCGGGGGTCATGATTTGAACAAACTTGAATCTACACTACCTGAGGATACTTCAATATTAATATGAGCAATTATGGCTTTTCTGTTTCTGTACTTGAGAAGAAGATTTTTAAAGAATCTTGCTATATTGAATGAGGGCGTGGCCCTTCATTTGAACAAACTTAAACCCCCTTCACCCACGAGTGCTCTGTGGCATGTTTAGTTAAAGTGGGCCAGCGGTTCAAAAATGTTAAAAGTTTACAGTCAGACGGACAATCAGACAAACGGACTGACAGACGGACAGACTGACACCGGACAAAATGTGATCAGAAAAGCTCACTTGAGCCTTCGGCTCAGGTGAACTAAAAAAACAAGTTGTGGGTGTTATGAGATAATCGAGTCAAAAATTTTATTTAAGAATAAGTAGAAAAAAATGTAGTGTACTTTATCTCCCTTTTTTTTGTATCTTTAGGAGACCTTTTTTTCAGGAAATCCTGCTCCCTTCAGAATAAAAATATTCACTTTACGCATAAAAATGCATTTTGTTTCCTCGTTCATAGTTTTTAAATAGATTGAAATGTCAAAATGCTTGATACGATCATTACATAGAACTGTAATTTTTATACACCGATGAATTCAACGTCAAATTATGAACATTTTTACCAACGTAAAATTTATATTTCCTGCACACAAGGAAATTAATTTCACAACAAGTAATTTGAAGTTAAATTATTGATAAAACGTCATAACTTTTGTGGAAAATAGATCTGTCCATATCATTTTGTAAAATTGGTTATTTTGGGGATGATATGCTGGAGAAATTGATAAAATGAAAAAAAAAAATAAGATAACGATAATGGATAGCAATTGATCTCAAAAAAAAAAAAAACACAATACAAATCGGCGAACCTAGACGTATAACATCTTACGGCAAAGGTATATATATATATATATATATATATATATATATATATATATATATATATATATATATATATATATATATATATATATATATATATATATATATATATATTAAAATCAGTATCTTATTTTTTTTTCTTATTCAATGTTTTGAGCAATTGAGTCAAATGCTGAATGACGTTTTTCATACTCATTGTTAGTCCAGTATTTATACACTAAATTTACTACAGATTTTTCGGTTATTTCCAGGGATGGGGTCAATTACTTTAAAAATTAATTAATTAAATTACAATTACTTTAACTTTTCTTTAATTAAATTACAATTAAATTACATTCTTTCTAAGACATGTAATTAATTAAATTACAATTACTTTGCAAAAGTAATTAATTAAATTACAAATTACATTTTAAATTTTTTGATTTTTTTCCAATCCTTGTCAATGAATATACAGAACTACATTCATTTGTATATAAGCTCAGCCTCTGCTCAAACAATACAAGAAATGATATGATGTAGGCATTGTGCACAATTCTTTGTGGTTTGAATTATAACTTTTATTTAAAAGAAGAACTATCCGAGATCACAGTCTGATGCAGTTTCTTCCACGGAATATTAACATGTACACAAATTGCATCCCTGATTGCTTATGATATTTAATTAAAAGGAGGTATCTTTAATAAAGTGTAAAATGAGTCACAACTGTAACCCCTCAAATCAAATATTTCTGAACCTAAACATTTTAATTAAATTGTTATTTATGTTGAACATTTTTACTTCATAGATGACTGTACAGAACATAATTTTCTCAAATACAAAATTTATTTATATAAAAATCTTTTTAGATGTTAAAATAAATTATCAAATTAAAAGTTTTTCTTTTCTTAAGTTAGCAGAGCATTATGATTGAAATAATTATCTCCATTGGATTTGTTTTCTGAATCATGGAATGAATACCTTCTTAGAGGAGTTGACTTGTTTTGATTGCAATTTATGGCTGTGATTTGGAGGGCAATTATTTCTTCACAACATGAGGGAATTAATTTAATTATGACACACACATTCTTTTGCTTTATTATTGATCAAACAAGAAAAATTGAAATATAATAAATGTGTGTTTCATAAGGAATAGACCCACGAAGGCTAGCTTGTACAAAATTTAGATAAACCTATACCAAAAAAAAAATTATATACTTATAAGAAAGACACTAGATAATTATTATCAAATCAATCATTTAGTTGCTTGTAAACATTGTCTTAATTTTTTTTATAATTGGAGGACTGAGGATATGTTTTGCAAATAAAAGACAGTAAAATTGGGAGGTAGTGGTGACAATGTATCATGAATGTGCACAGTATAAAGTTATTGAATGTAATTGAAAAAGTAATTGAAATTACATGGTATTTTTTCAGTGTAATTAATTAAATTACAATTACAAGTAATTGAAAAAATGTTCAATTACAAATTACGTCCAATTACTTTAAAAAATGTAATCAATTACGGTCAATTACAATTACTTTTTTCAATTACCCCATCCCTGGTTATTTCCCGATCATGACAAGGAGCTCACGAAGGATATGAAAGGTCGGCAAGGGATGCTCACTTCGCCATGACACCTGATTCCATATCTGATGTTTCCGGTTCGGAGGTCCAGGTTCGCTTAGCTCTGTCCCCCCTGGAGGTTCCAAAATGGCGCTTGAAGTGGGAAGCCGTGTTTTGTAGGGTGCGGAGTTTTCGGCCGGGAATGAGTGTTTAAAATAGAGGTGGGTCCCTGAAAAGTTTTGAAGGCTTCCTTTGTGACTGCTGGACTATTGCAAACGTAATAATTTACTTTGCATGCTTGTGCAGACGTGTTTTCCAGTTTTTGAATTGTGTAGAGCTGTCGTGAATAGTGAGTTGAGTTACTATAAATAGACAATGTCGACTAGTCAGGCAGGTGTCCTTACACGAAACATGAGCACAGGAGGCGAAAAATCAAATAAATCTAGCTCAAAGCAGAGTCCATTATTGAAAACACCAACAAAATGAGGTGAGGGTGAGTGGACACAGATTCAAGTTCAATTAAAAGAAATAAAAAGTGACTTAAATAAAACATTGAAAGCTGACGATGTGAAGGAGCTCATAAAAATGTAGTCGAGGAAATGCTTCAAAAACATCAGGATAAGATTGAAAAAAAGGTCAATGACAAAATTGAGTGTTTAAAACAAGGAAATCGACAGTTGAAAGAGAGTATTGAAAAGCTTGAAGCAGATAAAAGGGCAATTAAACGTGAACTAGACGAGAGCAATGAAGCGTTAAATGATTTACACAATCGATTTGAGGTGAATGAAAACATGGCTAAAGCTGCTTTCGCTAAGGCTAACCAAAACCAGCAATATTCACGGAAATATAATATTAAAGTCCATGGTCTCCCCGAGACCGAAGGAGAAAATCCCCTGGAAATTGT